CCAGAGTGCTCAAACTACAACAAGTAGCGGGCATTGCGCGATTCAGCAGTAGTCACCGGCGGATTATGCCGGCATAATTTTCGTCATAATTTGGTTGTTGAAATTTTGGAGCATAATTTAGCATCCTATCTGAGGGCGGAGCATAACTACTTCTTGAAGTACAGTCATGATGAATGTATACAATATCCTGTCTCTCTCACGACACCACCATGGTCTTACACTGCAATGGCCGTAAATATCACTCCCATTGTTCGCCCTTGAGGCTTCATCAGGGAGTATTGAGAGCCCATCAACATGTACTCTCGTAATGTAGACATGTTGTCATAATACAATGTCATGTAGATCTACATTATTTTGTTACGATCATGTTGTAGTTATGCCCCAGAAAGAATGCCATGCTGTACATGTACAGACAATGTACCGCCGCTACTACCGGTATGTCACTATGTGGACTGTAGTCTACGATTCGGACGATTGTGTAGGTCTACCTGATCTGCGCTGGTGGTGTGCATTGCAGATCTACAGGGTCCAAAGGTCAGACAGTGCCGCTAATTATTTCGATACAGGGCAGGGTAGAAATCATGTGAATAGTATGATGGACTTCGTCTTCTTGCTCTTGTGAACTGATACATGTAGTCTAGTAAATAATCCAGTGAATCAGGTTTCTCGGGACAGACCAGATACCCGTACCGCGGTATCGACGATGTCCGTCTGGAACAACTCAGCATACATTACGCATGATACCATGTCATGACCTTTGGATTCCAGCAGCCATCGTTTGACTAAACAATGCAGGTTAGTCTTGTTGACAACTCCCATTGCAACTACATATCGGTATATACACTTGATCTAGTGGATATTGTTTTCAGATTGAGAAAGCTTAGTTGATGATAATCAGATTTTTTTATGATGGAAGGAGAAGTGGATGTGCGTGAGAGGTGGGCTGATTATTCTGACGAAGAGGTTGACATTTTGGGCGAATATGACGACTACGAAGACACAGTTGAACATGTATTGGATAAGGCTGACACTGCGGAGAGTAGTCGTAATAGGTCAATGAACAGGACAAGCAAACCTAGAATCGCTGCCGAAGAACCCGCACCCAAAAAGTCTAAAATAGTCGTGAACGTTAGTCCCCACCAGAGAGTCAGAGAATTTCCTGGTGAGTTCCTGTGTCCAGCGGGAGCCTCCACTGTGAAGCCTGCCACCACACTGAAAAAGAGTGTCCTGGAGAAGCACATCGAATCTCGTACCCATCAAAATGGAAAGGAGAAAAGGAAGTTAGAAAAACTTCGCCAGCAAAGAGTAGCACAAAGCTGCATGGGAAAAATTACCAGAAGCAACACGCAAGAGATCTGTCTGGGAGTGGCCTAACATCAGCGGTGCCGACGCAGCAGAGCATACGGCGAGTTGCAGTTGTGACTGAATTCCTAAAGGCCGGGATTCCGTTGTCTAAGATCGACAACTTGCGACAGCTGCTAGAAGACGGATCAGAGCGTTTGACCGACTCTTCCTACATGGCCTCATACATACTGGTTGCCATGGAGACAGAGATGCAGGGTATCATGGAAGAATTGAATGAGAAACCACACATATCCGTCATATTTGATGGCAGTACCTATCAATGCGAGGCCCTGGTGGTTATTGTACAGTACATTGCCGATGACTTCAAAATACGTCAACGGTTGGTGAGTGTCCGTGTGCTGGCTAAGCGTGTGACGTTTCAGCAGCTGGCAAGAGAAGTGATCACAGTGCTCTCTGCTCAGCTGCAATATCCAAGCAACAAGGTGATCGCAGTTACACAGGATGGAGCAAGCGTCAATGGAGCTGCGGTGAGTTATTTGAAGGATATAATGTACCCCCAGGTGTTTGACATCACATGCATCGCACATTCGCTAGACAACGTGGGGAAGCGGTTTGACACGGTCCTGTTAAACTCGTTCCTGCACTCGTGGGTGTCGCTATTTACTCACAGCCCTACATCGAGGATTGCATGGCGAGAGCACACCGGCGAAGCCATCAGTCCTATTGCCCAACTCGATGGTGGAGTTGGTGGGAAATGCCCCAGCAGCTTCACAAGCCTTTTCACCTCGTCTCAACCTTTCTACAGTCGTTGGAGTCCTCACCAGCTACATGTGCCAACTTGCTGCGTGTTCTAAGCAGCGTGGGTGAGCTGAAAAGTCTTCGCATGCAGCTTGCCATAGCCATGGATGTTGGGAAGTTGTTTGTCTCAAAAACCTACCTTCTTGAACGAGATTGCGAGTTGATTGTGGAAGTGTACAAGCATCTTCAGGAGCTGTCAACAGCCTGCGCACTAGAGAGCTACCCTGAAGCGGTGGAAGCAGCATGTTCCCTCGCTGGAGATAACCCAGCAGTCATGCAACAGCTCCTGGCTGAGGCCAAGCAGTGTTTTGTGCCAGCAGTCCTCTATTTCCAAAGGCGCTTCAACCATTGTGAGGGCAATCTCTTCGCTTCTGTCAAAATGTTCAAGGCATTGCGCATTGTGTGGCCCGTCCAAGCTCCGCAGCTGCAAGTTGGATTGCGGGATGTTCAGGCTATCCGCATACTAGCATGCCTAGATGATGATGACACGATTGGCCAGTTGCAGGAAGAGCTTCCCATCTACCTTATAAGCTTACTGCAGCTGATAGCGCGGTGCTTGACAACACAACACAGCTAAACTGGTGGCAGGAACAAGATCGTCTCCCAAGCTGGCAACGGTTGACCAAGATCGTGTTCACCCTCCTTCCTTCGTCTGCACCGGCTGAGAGGGTATTCTCGTTGTTTCAGGCGTCCTCAACCAAGCAGCTAGGTAACCGGCTAATTGATCAGCTTGAAGCATCATTGATACTACAATATAACCGGCGGTAAGAGTCTCTGGAGACCTACATTGTACTGATAGTTGCGTGCTTCTCTTTACCAGTATAGTGGCAGCCAACAATCAACAGAATCGCAAGTGTTCCTGCACGGTTCAGGCAGATGACTATTCAAGTCCAATAGTATGCTCCTGTTACTCTCGTTCCTTTGTAGTCCAAGTTATTGTGATGCAGTGTTATTCTTCAGCCGATAGTCATGGTGGCATGCTTGGCCTTTCAGCCGCTGTCTTTTCTACTTTGCTAACGTGACAGATATCCAGTTTTTGTGCATGTAATGGTTTTCACTATGCTCCCTCCTTTTTATCAGCACTGTGGCTTGCTCCATGGGTTTGCTGTCATGGCAACATTGTGTTTATGACTTTAAGTGTACTTCAAAACTTGCTGCTTCTAGCTGCAAATCCATCATATAATTTATATTTTTTGCAATGCACATGTGTTTTTGGACTATGAGTACTGAGCATCCCATAGCATAATTTTGAGATTTTGGGAGCATAATGCGAGAATCCATGAAAGAATTCCCCGATTTCATGAGCATAATCCGCCGGTGCCTATGCAGCAGCACTAGAGCAGCCTACTGAGAGTGCTCAACAAGGCGAAAGCCAAGGAGCGTGATACCCAATGCTGTAGACAGCAAGCTGTTTCGGCCATAAAGGCCTCATCAGTACAGCTACGAGCTAAATAGGCCGAGCTACCAGCCATGGTGCAAAGGAGGTATGTATGTATGTATGTATGTATGTACGTATAATATGGATGTATATGAATGCTGGAGTGCTTCACCTCTCACACCAATCATGGGGGCTCTGGGCCATTCGCTTGATATCGTGGGGAGCGCATCAAACTATGTGCACTGCGAGCAAATGCAATTTCAAATTTGGACTGCACGCAGAATTTCAAAGTATTAGGAAATTAGAGGTCACATGCCACGTACTGCTCTTTTTTCTCCGAAACTCAACACTTGCAAGCAAGATATGAAAGAAAGAAAAAATCATCAGTCAAACCTCGGGACTCGAACCAGGGACCTTGCTTTTCGCCCATGATATCAAGCGAATGGCCGATGACCCTCTTGATTGGGGTGAATTGCCAGTATGATGCAAGCCAGATATGGATTGATCGAAGAAGGATAGATTTACCATCACTGTGGATAAGAGTCATACTGAGTCATACTGTAGCTCAGTTGGTCAGAGCATTGCTCGCGAATAGCAAGTTCCCTGGTTCGAGTCCTTGTGGTGTGACTGATGATTTTTTCTTCCTTTCGTATCTGGCTTGCAAGTGTTGAGTTTCGGAGAGAAAAGAGCAGTACGTGGCATGTGGCCTCTAATTTCCTAATACTTTGGAATTCTCCGTGAAGTTCAAATTTAAAACTCCTCGAAGATTGTTAAAATAGGGAATACATTGAAGTTATGAAATTCAAATCAGGTTCCGATTCGGTGCCTGTCTGACTCACCTTGTATGCTTTCTCTCATAATTATCTAGTTTTACTCTTACAATTGGTAGAGATTTGGTTTTCTGTAGAATGAGACTTAAAAAAGAAGTCACGCCTACATGTACATGCATGCATAACGTACCTTGACCAGCGCTTAATCTGCTTGCCAGAAATACGACGCTTGTTTGCCGCCTTGCTTGAAACTTCAGCTGTTGGAGACTGCATATTGCCGAAATCTAAAATATATTGCCAGTAAAGAGCACCAAATATTATAGGGAACAAGGCCTGAGAACCCGAGCACGTCTAAATTCTCCCACCGAGTGTTGCATGTGCTACACATGAGTTGTATGTGTTGCTTGTAATTATCATGCACAGTCATCTAGTGCCTTGCTATGCCATCGCATGACACTCCATCCATGTACGGCTTACCTGCACATGACACGCGTTCATGATCAACCAACCTATGTGGTCTAGCTTGTCATCGTATTGTACACATCCGGTTCTGGATCCTTCTATCTTCTTCTACTGCTTCTAGCACCTTCCGTCCAGTTCTGATAATCTGGAGTGATTTGCATTTCTTTGTTCTTGTTGTTTATGTTCCCAAGAAGTGAAGTCAAAATAGAATGCTCTCGCATGTTGGGTGTGTGTGCTCGAGATAAGTAACAAAGTTCAAGGATCGAACTTTACATGGTGTCAGAATAATGTCAACCCGCACAGCCCCGGTCCCTGACCGCTTCGACTTTTCTGCACCGCAGAAATGGCCTCTGTGGCGAGAACGATTCTCGACCTACCGCCTTGCTACCAAGCTTCACAAGGAAGATGGTGAGGTACAGGTAGCAGCTCTGAAATATGCGTTGGGTCCGGACGCTGAGCCTGTGTTCCTGCAGCTTCAGTTTGACGCAGACGCTGATAAGAAAGACTTCGACAAAGTGCTCAAGAAGTTTGGTGACTATTTCACCCCGAAGACGAATCTATTCCACAAGCGGATGGTGTTCGAGCGTGCAGCGCAGCGTCCAGGTGAGACGGTGGAAGAGTTTCTCCGTCGTCTGCACGTGATAGCTGAGACATGCCAGTTCGGAAATAACAAATCCGATCGCATTCGTGACCGTTTCGTTGCCACCTTGCTAGATGAGAAATTAGCAACGGACTTGCAGCTGACGGACAATCTGACCTTGGAAAAGGCTACAGAGAAAGCTCGCGGGTACGAGCTCGTCCGCCAGCAAGTCGCCTCACAGCGCGGCCATGCCAGTGCTACACCTGCGTCAGCCGCTGTCGCTGGCGCTTCTGCTGCTCCTCGTAAGAGCACAGGATCGTTCAAGAGTAAGTCTGATGGACCTGCCGGCAGTCAGTCTCACAATCTCTGCATGTTTTGTGGTGGTAAGTTACATACCCGCGACCGCTGTCCTGCTCGGGATGTTACCTGCCGCAGCTGCTCCAAGAAAGGCCATTACGCCCGTGTGTGTCGCTCATCCAAGAAGGGGTCACACTCATCTTCCAGGCAATCCAGTAGCTCTGGTGCACATTCTCTGGCCACACAGGACGATCCGGGTGTGACTGAGGATTGGGCCTACTTGGATTTAGATAGTATCGCATCTGGCAGCAGTCCATGGATGTGTGATCTTCTGTTGTACTGGAAGTCCGTACCGTTCAAGATTGACACTGGAGCGGATATCACTGTGATTACTCCAGCAACTTACGAATCTCTCAAGTCACCACCGCCTCTGAGCTCTCCTACAACACGGTTGACAGGAGCCAATGGTGATCGCATCGACTGCAAAGGCACATTCAGCGCAACTTTGTCCAGCCCAAAGCTCAGTTCCTCGCAGCACCAGCTGGAGATTCACGTTCTGACACGGGGCAAATCCAACCTCCTGAGTCGCGAAGCCTCACAAGTGGGCTTTGTGTTCAAAGGCATCTCAGAAGCGAAGCAGCCACCTCTTGGACGAATGCTGGGTGAGCCCGTCAAGATCGCTCTGAGACCTGATGCCGTTCCGTACCAGTGCTCAACAGCTCGTCGCGTGCCGATTCCGATCCTGCCGAAGGTCAAAGCAGAGCTTGTCCGCATGGAAGCTGCCGATGTCATTACAAAGATAACAGAGCCTACGGACTGGTGCGCACCCATGGTACCCGTTGCCAAAAAGAACGGCGACGTCCGGATCTGCGTAGATCTGCGACGTCTGAATGCTTCGGTCAGGCGCGAAACCTTCATCCTGCCCACCGTCAACGAGACATTGGCGAAGCTGAGTGGTGCAACATGCTTCACCACCCTGGATGCAGCGAAAGGTTTCTGGCAGGTGCCTCTTGATGCCGAAACAGCTAAGCTCACCACGTTCATCACGCCATTCGGACGTTACTACTTCCGTCGACTTCCGTTTGGCATAACATCGGAGCCAGAAATTTTCCAGCGCAAGTTAATGCAATACCTGGATGGCCTTCCAGGGGTGTGCGTCTTCATGGACGACATCCTGGTCTTTGGTGCGACAGTCGAGGAGCACGATGCTACCTTGGAGAAGGTCCGATCAATCCTGCGCAATGTTGGTGTCGCCCTTAACCCCGACAAGGAACATGTTCGCCAATCGTCAGTTGAGTTCTTGGGCCATGTCGTCTCCGCTGATGGAGTCAGCCCCAGTCAGCAGCGCCTCGCCGCTATCTCCGAGCTCCAGGCACCAGCCGATCTCCCTGCGCTACGTCGCGTGCTGGGTATATTTAATTATCTCAGCAAGTTTCTGCCGGAAATGGGCACCGTCTCTCAGCCGCTCCGATTGCTCCTCCGCGCTGACACGGTCTGGTGTTGGGATGCTCCCCAAGAAGAAGCTTTCCAACGACTCAAACAACTCGCTAGCCAGTCTCCTTGCCTAGCATTCTACGACGTCTCTAAGCCAACTCTTCTGCGAGTTGATGCCAGTGGCTATGGTCTGGGAGCTGTTCTCCTCCAGCAGCAGTCAGCTGGCTGGCAACCTGTCGCGTATGCCTCCCGATCTCTCAGCGACGCCGAGCGCAACTATGCGCAGATTGAAAAATAATGTCTAGCCATCGTCTGGGGATGTGAGTACTTCGCCCAGTATCTTGTTGGTAGCAAGCCATTCACGGTGCACACTGACCATAAGCCCTTGGTTCCCCTGGTAAACAGCCGGGATCTAGATCGAGTGCCACTTCGTTACCAGCGTCTGCTACTTCGACTGGCTCGTTTCGACGTCACTGCCGAGCATGTCCCCGGCCATGATCTCGTTGTGGCCGATGCTCTCTCTCGAGCACCACTACCTACCACCGTCTCTACCTCGTCTGTTCTGACTGACGAGATTGCTTCTCTTGCCGATTCAGCTGGCGAAGAGTACATGTCGTCTGGATTCTCGCTTGCCCTACGAGATGCCACCCAGGCTGACCGCGTCCTGCAGCAAGTTGCTAAGTTTGTTCAGTCTGGCTGGCCTGATCACAGCAAGGACGTCCCTGCTGACGTCCTCCCATACTTTGCCGACCGCCAGCATCTCTCTGTTGCCAACGTTCGTATCTTCTATGGTGCACGTGTGGTTGTGCCTGCATCTCTGCGTGATATGGTCATCCGCAAGCTGCACACATCTGCTCATCACGGTATCGTCAAGTGCCAGGCGCAGGCCCGCCAATCTGTCTGGTGGCCGTCCTGGAAGAATGACGTCGCTTCTGCTGTTACGCAATGTCGCACATGCTGTCAGCACCGTAGCCAACCTCCTGAACCTCTCCGACCGACTGAGTTTCCGTCACTCCCGTGGCAGCGAGTTGGTTCTGACCTGTGTCAATTCGGTAACACAACATACCTGGTGGTTGTCGACTACTACTCGCGCTATGTTGAAGCCTTGCCTCTCCGTTCCACCACGTCTGCCTCTGTCATCACTGCTATGAAAGCCATCTTCGCCCGGCACGGTGTGCCTGAGACTCTCGTCACGGACAATGGGCCGCAGTATGCAAGTGATGAGTTCGCCCGGTTTAGCTGTCAATGGAACTTTGATCACGTGACGAGCTCGCCGCATCACCCGCAAAGTAATGGGGAAGCAGAGCGTGCAGTACGCACTATCAAGCAGCTTCTAGCGAAGTCGGACGACTTCCAACTGGCTCTCCTCACCTACCGTAGTACGCCACTTCAGAGCGGGTTCTCGCCATCACAGTTACTAATGTGCCGCAGCCTCCGTGGTACGCTACCGGTGGAACCCTCCACTCTCCTGCCGACGCTCCCTGCAGGTAAGAAGCTGAGGGAGTTGGAGCAACATCGCCGAGCACAGTCAAAGGATAACTTTGATAAACGTCACCGGACCAAGCCTCTCCAGCCCCTGCAGCCTGTCTACAAACTTGATGCACACGGAACACTTCAAACATTCTGCTAACAGCCGATCGTTCTTCTGCCGGTCATAAATCAGCCAGGCGGAAGGCATCGTTGTCCGAGATCCACTTATCGCAAGTAGCGGCCTTCACGCGAAGCAGCAATGTGCAGCGAAGCAGCAATGTGCCATCCTTCCGCGACTTGGGTGGAATGACGTGCAAGTGGTGCTCCAGGGTCAACTACAATTTGCCGAGCACGTATGCCGCTGGCTTGGGGTCAGCAGTTGGGTGCAAAGTCTCTGTATACAAATCGTCCACTGTCGTCAACAATATGGCACCCTTGTCCAGCAATTCACGTGCTGTAGCGGCAATGACTATAATTATTGGGAAGATCACTCTCGGCACCTTCCGTGCTGTATTGAGAGATGATGCTTCGCATTTGGTGGTCTGTGCTTGGTGGTCTGTGCTTGGTGCACTGGTGGCAGGGAGACATTGTGCATGCTACGCAACTCATGCTCTGCAAGTTGAAAGTTTGGTGACTTCAACCTGTCCTGTGTTCTGGTGCGAGCCTCGACTTACACCAAGCACATGTTGCATGGCCGACACACTGCTGGTAAATTCACTGTAATGGGCCGGGCACGGAACCGGTTCGCACTGTTCATTCAGACGGTGCACGTGCAGTTTGTCTGCAGGAGAGTGTACGGATGCCGCTGCGCTGCAATCATGTACACTGCATGTACTTTGGCAGACTGGTGGCTTATTTTCTTTCGCTGCTGTACATACTTGGCGTCGTAGTGCTTTGACGCACTTCCAACAAATGCATTGGCTGACGTGATGGTTGTGCATGCATGTGTGTAGCTTTTGCCAATCTGACAGCATTGCGCCACGTGTAAATCGCTTGTCTGATGGCACTTTGGAGCCAATGCTGCATTCTGGGCCACATGGCAACATGGTCGTCAAGTATGTATGCTTGTGGCATTTCTGGGTCTTCCTGCCGCTGACATCTGAGCACACATGCATGGAAAATATACGTAAAAACACTAGTTAAAAATCCCGTCACTAGAGGCATGCCCTTTTTTCGGCCAGAACATAACTTCCGCTCCAATGTCACAAAGACTTACTCTTTCGATATGTCCAGCCTCGACTTTTTCTCAGCCCGCGCCCGGTACCAGCGGACAAATGTTTCCAAACGCGAAATATTGCGTAAAATCAATCTCGGATTTCGATGGGTTCGCAGAAGGACATTGTGCGTTCTACTAGGCCCCCTTGATCTGACGTCAACACCCCTTTGTTTATTGATGTATATGCGCAACCCACTTCTGCTACTACTAGAACTACAGCTGTGCACAATAGGCTCCGGCGGATTATTCTCGCGAAATCAAGGAATTTTGCTTTCATGGATTCTTGCATTATGGTCGTAAAATCCTCATATTATGCTTTAGCACCCGGGGATATACATGTGCATTCACTTTGTTGTACTTAAGGAGCCTCAAAGTTCAGGAAATTGTGCCTTTTTCGTACTTGCAAGTTGCAAGTGGCCATAAGTACGACAAATAACATGTACATGAGTATCCCCATACCAAGGTATCCATGCATGTAAGAGCCTAAGCGGTCAACAAGGAAAAGAGAAAACAATACTTCCTCTATTCATTACTTGATTTCTTTTGTACTTCAGTAAAAATATTATTTCATTGCCAAATTAGTTTGAGTTACCTTTGAAAATTATCATGTTCAACTGTCTTCGTAATCATCATACTCGTCCAACCGATGTCACCCTGGGCCTCACCCTGCGAATAATCAGCTTATCTCGCCCGTAGCTCCACTTCTCCTTCCATCATGACCGAACAAGAGCAATATCCGTAGCCTGCCGTCATATCATGGCTGCTAAAATCCAGACTGGTCATGACTTCGTAACATGCATAATGTACAAATGTAATGTACGAGTACCGGTAAATGTTCACGTAGTTTTGCGGACTACCCGTCACTATCCCTTCCGCCCCGGGATACCTGATGAAGGCTGATTCACTCGCATCTTCTCCTACATGTACTGTGCCAGTGTGAGAAAGAACTTTGCAGAAGACGAGTTCGAGCATACAATATTGTATTGCCATGATTTCTACCCTGCTTTTCATTCAAAATACTATCTGCATGACCTCCAAACGCTTTGCCATGCAGACCACCAGCACTGATCAGGCGCATTGTACACAATTGTATAGCCTACATACTAGAACCGTGGTAAAATCGTGTAGTTATGCTCCTACCTCCGAGAGGATGCAAAATTTTGCTCCAAATTTTCAACCACCAAATTATGCCAAGAATCATGCCGACATTATCCGCCGGTGCCTATGGCACAAACACCCAGCCTCTGACGTGTTATTAGATTCAATACCTACTTGTAGAGTAGGCTATACAAAAAGCTAGTCATTTCACTGTCACTGTCATTTTGCAAAGCAATCTAGAGGAAGATGCTTCAACTTTTGTGCCAATTGCCTTTGGTGGCATTTCATTGACAGAAATTGCCGAACTACTTGGTTTCAATTTGTTTTGTCACCTTGAATTGAACTTTACATCAGTTGAGGATCCTTTGCGGGAATTCCAGGCCACTAGTGTTGAGGCGATATTCACCATCCTCGTGATACTCGATGCTCGTAAAGCTGAGGGCGGCGACAGTATTCCGGCATTCATCCTGAAGCATTGTCCAGCAGCCCTCGCCCCGTCGCTATCCATATTAATTAATGCATCCCTTTCGTCTGGAATGGTGCCCTTCTCCCCGAAGATTGCAAATGTTCGACCCCTATTTAAGTCTAGTGACAAGAACGCATCTCGCAATTTCCGTCCCATATCTTTGCTGCCAATACCATCGAAGATCTTGGAGAAGATAGTCCACAAACGCCTGTGTGACTTCTTACAAACCTATTCACTTTTGCCTGCCAATCAGTTTGCGTACCGGCCACAACACTCCACGGAAGATACCCTGACCTTGGCCATGGACCGCTATCTGTCGTCAGCAGACCACCAGCTACATACTGCCTTTGCTGTTTTCACTATATACCATGGACGTCCATAGCGTCACCAGCCCAGCACACTCCCAGCTGTTTGCGGATGACATCCTTCTCGACACCGCATGCGGATCTGTAGCAACCCTAAATCAAGTCTTATCAGTTGCTGTGTCAAACTTGGCTGACTACCTACACGGGAAAGGCCTGGTTTTAAACCCTGACAAGACGCAGGTCTTAGCCATTGGAGGGTTCATGCCGTGGTACCCTGGAAGTCAACGTTAAGGTGGCAGACTACCAAAAATTTTGCTGAAAAATCGAATTTGTAAATTCATATTGAGTGCTACGTCAGTTGAAAGAGCATGAATAGCTGCAAATTCTCTGAAAATTGTGTCCCAATCTGACCGGCCGTTCAAGAGTTATGGCCGAAAATGTGCCCTTGCAAGGAAAGATATTTTTGTTGCACGCTGTCATTTGTTAGCAGCACTGTATTTGAATGTGAGCAGACCGTGCGCAACTTGTCGTATCATGGAAACACGTGAAAGTGTGCAGAATTTTGCTCCAAGTCCAAAAAATTAGGTTTTTGAGCCACGAATTGGGCTGCACGGCGGCGGGCGAAGCCCGCCGCCGTGCAGCAGGACTTTTGCCAGCACCCTCGTGACGTTGCAGATATGTGGCTTGATTATTGTAGTTGACGTTGATTTAGTGACTTTGGCAAGTTTGACTCGTGTCAAGAAGTCAGGTAGGATTCAGTACTAGGCAGTCGTGAAACGTGAGTGGAAGTCTTTGCCGGTTTCTGAGGGTATCCTGGATTTGGTGTGCAGCGCTGTGGAAATTCCTTGCTGTGGAGGTCCCAGCACTGGATGTTGTATCAAATTTACGACCTCGTAGCACACCATAAAAAAAAAAAAAAAAATTTCACGGTTCGCGTGAGACTCGGCCAAAGGCCCAGTTTTCCGCATCCGCAGGAACGCCACCACCCTCTTGGATCAAGGCGCAGATGCAGCTCCTAACCCTAGCACACCCTAAACCTAAAAAAATTCAAAAATTGACTTGGGTCTGTGGGAGTGTGTGAGAGAACGCCCACTCGTTCCGTTGTGACAGATTCCAGGGCCTCGTTGAGGGGCCCTACCCCATCACCCATGGCTGCTTCTGGACTTGTACTAGGTATGAGTCCCGCGCACGAACAGAATGAGCACGAAAATGTGAAAAAATTGAAAATGCATTTGTTTGGCTCCTGGGTGGCTCGCACAGCGTGGCACTATGCCGGAAATTTGAGTTTTTCCGGCCTGGAAAGCCTGTCAGTGAGGCGCAAGAACTTGTAAATCATGTCCTGAGGGCCAGCATAGTGGCAGGAGTGTGTGATCAAAATTTCACTCAAATCCATTGAGAAACACCAAAGCAACGGTCAATTGAATGCCATATGAAATTTATGGGTAGGCTGCCCCCTTAACTGCAACGGGAAGCCTCTCACCCAGACCACCACTGTTCGCTTTCGATTCCTGTCTTCGGTGGGACGCGCAGGTCTCCAGCATAGTACGTAAAACTTCGCACAAGCTAACCACCCTGAGAACCATCCGCACGTCGCTATCTGAACGCCAGTCACTCCTCTTCTATTCTGCCCTTATACTTCCTGACATGCTTAATGGATCAAACGCGTTCTTCTCAGCACTTAAGGCTCAGCAGCGGCACCAGCTCACTGTCCTCGACAAGCGATGTGTTCGCTGCGTAGCCAATCTGCCCTTCCCGTCCCATACCACTCATATACACTCGCCTTGCACTGACCCCTGCAATTGAACGTGCCAAATGCAAACTGCGTTTGCTTATGCACTTAGTCCACACCAGCAGCATCAGCCCTCTTCTGAAAGATAGAGTAGCCCTCCAACCTCCCCGTAACACCCGTGGCAATGACAATTGCAAATACGTTGTTCCACTAACTCGGCGAACATCTGGCGACAGCCGACCATTGGTTTCTGCCGTGAAGCTTTGGAACACCCTGCCACAGGAACTCACGTCCACTCGTCGTCCAACCTCGTTTAAAGGATTGCTGAAAGTGTTTTTCTACGGTT